CCGTGCCCGGGCCAGCGGGCCAGCGAGGCAGGGGCACAGATTGGAAAAGGAGGTAGGCCGGGATGGCTGGGGAAAGGAGCTTGGGAGGCGAGGACAGCCGGGAAGAAAAGCGCCTCCACCCTGCACCAGGCTGCGTGACTTTCTTCAATTGGCCCAGGCTGGGGGAGCCTCACCCCAGCTTTTCAATCTCCTTAGACGCTTTTTCAACCTCTCCCAGGGTTTCAGCCTTACCCTTTCCCTCCTCTTGGGTAAGTGCTCCTGTTGTCTCACCCAGACTCCTCTTGCTACAGCACTGAGGAAGAACTTCCAGGGAATGTGAGAGGAGAGAGGGGCTGGAGAAAGGGGAGAAAGCCTGGGTGGAAGGGAGACCTGCTGGGGAGGTTGGGAGAGGGGCCTTGGGGGAGTCACAACCAGTTCTCCAAGGAAGAGGCCAGGGGTGATTAATTGCCCCCCACACACCCACACACGAAAGCACCAGGGGCTGGCCACCCTCTCTGGGTGTCAGCTCAGCAGCAGTGCCTCCTCGTCTTGTCGATCCTTTCTGCATTTTCAAGCTGCTTCTAGAACTCCTGACCCTCCCTCTGGAGGTGAGGGAGGGGGAGGGCTAGGAGGGGAGGGAAGGCGGTTCCCACAGAGGTGCATAAATACACACAGCCCACGGACACGCACCCAAAGCACTGAGGAGTCCTAAGTCTCCATGGAGCATTTGGGGCCTCCTGAGTGGGTTCTACCAACCTGGCTCTCACCAGACCGAGAGGGCATTGCAGGCATCCTGCCAGAAACTCAATCATGCATGCACACGTGCACACACACAGTCATACTCACGCAGAGGCCCCACATGTCCCCTTCCCTCGCTTCCCCTTCACACCTCTTCATCCCAAATCCAGACTCCAGAAGGGACTCCCAGCCATTTCCAGTGAAGCCCACACAGGATGGCCCTTGCTGGGTTCTGCCCCGACCTGAGCAGGCAGCCACGGTATCCAAACCAGAGCCCTGTCCATCGGAGAGCCCCACTGCGGCCCGGGGGCTTTGGGAGTTGCTTCCCACTTTCAGGCCTAGTCCTGAAGGTAGGCCCGACCTGGACCTCAGCACGAGGTGGGTGGGGCCAGAGCAGGGTCTCAGGCCTGAGCGCTCCCTGGCCATGACAGAAGCAACTTACACAGAGACTGATCCTAGTCCTAGTCTTGTTCTTCCGGGGCAAGCAGCTCCCCTGCCTGCCAAGTGACCCTTTGCAGGCCGGCGACCCCCACCCGGCTTTGCTGCCCCCCAGACTCTCCTCCCCATCTCCAGTTCCCTCGGGGAACTCCCACCAAGCCTGGTCTGGGGTCACAACACATTCTCTCAGGCACCTGCACTCACATGGGCGTCCCCAGGACTCGCAAGCACCATGAAAGTCACCACAGAAGCGTGAACCACACCTTCAGCGCAGGTTCTCCCGGGGAGAGACCTCACTGGCAATTTCTGAAGCCAGTGGTGGCAGGGTGCCCTGCCCAGCATCTCAGACCTCCTCTGAGGCCCCGTGAACCCTCACTGGCCCTTTCTGGGCTTGATGTGGGCCCCCCTGCCCACAGCCCAGCCCCGTACCTGGGCTCAGGCACACAAGCAGAAGGTGGAACGCTCCTCGAACTCCCATGTCTCTAGGCTCGGTGTCTCCTCCGCCTGGGCTGGGTATCCTGTGGCTGGTATGGTGGGTGTGAGGGGGCGGGTGGAGGGAGGGGGAGTTGAGGGCCCAGACACTGCCCGGGGTGGCAGGAAGGTGCAATGAGTGGCCGGCCGGGAAGCAGCCGGAGTTATTTCTATGGGAGGGAGGGGGCCTGGTCCCCGCCTTGGGGAGGAGTCCCAGGAAGCCTAATTAGCGGGGTGACAGGGTGGCCTACCCAGGCATTACCCAGCCCTCACCCAAGCTCTTCCCTGTCCCGAGAGTGGCGCAGGGCTGGCAGTGGGACTTGTAATTAGGCACCTGTTAAACCTCCACTTCCTCCTGGCCACGTCCTCAGGGTGACAACAGTCACCCCATTTTACAGCGTCCATGGAGCTCCCCTCACCACTCATTTGGTGCCTCCTTCCCTGGGGGACGTGGGGAAGAGGAAGGAGAAGCCAGACTTGAGGAGGAAGGGTGGCCGGCCTTGGAGGGTTAACACTGCCCCAGGGCCCAGGAGTGGGCATGCCCTCCCAGTGTCCAAGTCCCACCCCCTCCAAGTACCCTAACCCTCCAGGGGGACCTCAGTGGAGGTCTGCAAGAGAGGGCACCAGGGAAGGGGACATTTTCCTGGGGCACTTGGGCAGCCAATGAAAAAGAGGCCTCCAGTCCTTCAAAGGGACTCAGGCTTCTTGAGCTGAAAGGGAAGGAAAGGGGTGCGCATAGGAACAGGGTCTTCCCCATGTGACCTCTGGAGCTGTCCCCCCAACACCTATATCAGACCCGAGGTCCTTGCTGAGTGTTGGGGACTCTGGGGAGCCAGGGGGCATTCTGGGGGATCCAGATGACTGACAAATAGCCCCCCTCCCCGCAGATCAGAAACCAGTACAGTGAGGCCTGGGGGAGCAGGGTCAGACAAGGGAGTGGGCAGATGGGTGGCTCAGGGAGCTGTCACAGGTGAGAGGATATTGGGGAGAGCTGGGGTGATTGTGTGAGTGAGGCTGGGTGTCCCTGTGCCGAGCGTCACTGCCAAGAGCTGGGGTGATTGTGTGAGTGAGGCTGGGTGTCCCTGTGCCGAGCGTCACTGCCAAGGAGGGCTGAGCCTCTCCGCGTGATCCTCAGGGGTCACTTGGCATCCTGGCCTCTATGTATAGGAAGAGCTGCCCGGCCTTGAATGCTAACGCAGACCCAGTGTTAGACCAAGGTCCCATAACCTGGACTGGACATCGAGGTTACAATGCAGCACAGCTCTGGGCAGGCTGGCACTGGGGTGGGGACAGCCTGGTGGGCCAGGGAAGAAAGTGGAGGGCCAGCCCTTGGGCACAGAATAGGCCTCATGCTCTCCTGGACTCCAGGCTGCTCTACACATGGCAGCAGAGCTCAGGTCATGAGTGGCCCTGCTCAATAGCTCAAGTCCCACCACAGAGTCAGGGACCCTCCTTGTCCTGACAAGGAGCTCACGACGGTCAGAGGGAGAAGAGCTCGGGGAGAGTTATGAGGCTCAGGGATGCCACCAGGGCCACCCCTCTGGGGAAGAAAGGACAGGACAGTAGGAATCTCAAGCCGTCCACGCGTCCTTGTGCTCCAAACCCTCCACCTGAACCCCTAGCAATGACGGGTTGCTCAGGGCCAGCAGATGTACACAATGAACATTATTACTTCCCGATTTATTTTGAGGTTTATGGGATTGTCCTGCACCCTCTGGAGAGCAGGGATCATTATCCCCGTTTTAGAAATGGGAAAACAGAGGCCTGGAGAAGCATGGGTATTCAGGCTAGTGACGCTGTTAAGTGAGGGGTGCACAGGCATCTTGACTGTCAGTCCAGGGTGGCCCAGGAAAAGGGCTTGGTGCCCCTGGGGGTTACTAGAACCACTCATGGGGAAAAGCATGGTAGTCAGTGGGAGGTGGAGGGAAAATTGGGGAGGCCAGGAAGAGGGGAACTGAAAAGAGAGGAGCAAGGTTGGTTCCATTAAACTGAGCACAAGCTCGGGGCTCACTTGAGTTCCAGACTTGCGTTCTTGTTAGAGTTAGGATGAAGGCCACAGCTGGGGTGAAGTTTACAGTTGGTTAAAATTAAAAAATAATTTGGGACCAGCAGTTAGCATAATGGCTATGTCACTGGACTCCCACGTAGTCGACCGCGGTTTGAGTCCCGGACCTGGTGGCTTAAACTCACACCAGGTGTGTGTGCGTGCGTGCCCAAGATCCCGAGAGGAGAATGGAGGAGAAGAGATTGCAGCGTGGCCATCCCCCCGGGGGGTGATTTCTTGCTTTCTGTCTCTCTGTCTCTCTCTGTCTCTCTGGCAAGCGCACGCATCCTATAGCAAAAACCTCTCCAAAAAAAAATAATTAAAAAATAATTTAATAAATAATCTGAGTTCAGATTTGAGGTTGGGATGAAAGTCAAAGCTAGAACAGGGCAAAGATCTGTGGCTGGACTTGTGATAAGGAATGGAGTTGGCTTTCGTTTATAGCTATGCTTGGAAACACAGGGCTAATTCAAAGGCTGGGTTGAGATGTGGGGCCTGGGGTTACAACTGAGCTGGAGATGCAAGGTAGAAGAGGCTGTGGTTAGGGTTAAAGACTGAGCTAGAGGGCCCAACAGCAGTGCAGGGAGGGTGATCAACGGGGGAGTTCCAGTTCCCACCTGGACAGCTGAGTGAACCATGCGCATGCTCATTATCCAGGGCTGGCTAAGGTTAAGGGTAGATCGTGGGGTCAAAGTCTTGTTGAGGATGCTGTCTCTCATGCCTACATACATTCGTACATGGGTTAAAGATACATGGGTAGGGAGCCAGCAGGGTATGGAGGTTAAGGCAGCTGGATCCCACATGACTGACTGTGTGGTTTGAGTCCCCGACCTAGTGGCTTGAAGATCACAGGTACCTGTGCCTGTGTGCCCAAAATCCTGAGAGGAGAACGGGGGAGAAGGGACTGTGGCACAGCCAGCCCCCCAGAGGGATAATTTCTCACTTTCCCTGTCTCTTTCTCTGTCTCTCTCTGGTGGGTGCACATGTCCTATAGCAAAATAAAACTTTTAAAAAATAAAAATAAGTGATATGTGGGTAGGGGGATTATGGGGATCATAATGTTGTATTTATGATATAGACTTCAGCCTCCATCTGCTGAAGGCAGGTATGGCTAGAATTTTCAACCCGTAGCTTGGGGAGAATAGCAGTGCCAAGTTGATTGGGGTTCCAAGATCCGGGAGAAGGATCAAAATATGTGTGAGCCCATTGGGGTATGAAGTGACTTAACCCCACAACCAGGGTGACCTGAGAGGTCCTGCTCTGTAACCAAAGCCCACCACCTGGCCAAGCTCCAAGAAACGCCTGGGGAGGGAGGGCCCAGGGCAGGCAGCTATTGGCAATGAGTGAGTCTCTGACACCTACTGAAATCAAAGATGGGGGGCCTCAGAGGAAGTTTTACTGAGGAGGGTTCGAAGTCTAGGGGATGGAGTTGGAGAAGACCAAAGGCCTAGATGCTGCTTCTGGAAGAAGAGCCTCTTGACTTCTTCTTTTTATTATTCATGATAAAGTGTGTGTACACATTCAAGAGTGAGAGTGGAGAAAGAAACACCCTCCACAGGATCTAGTCATGCTGCAGTCCCTTCCTCGCGTCCTCCAGCCCGTCAGATCCTGGGCCCTTGTGCACAGTCCCGGAGTGTTCCGGGGTTTCCATGTGAGAGCCACCTTCTCTGGAGCCACGCATCACTGCTGTGCCATGGAGTCAGTCAAAGAATAACCACTTCTGAAGACACCACATGGGGGTCTCAAAGCCTAAAAAGGCAGGACACCACCACTGGTCCCCTGGACCCACCAAGGTTAATTGCCACCACCTTGTGATTTGGGGCCTGTAAAAAATGCTGTCAGATTACCTGACCTGTGCCCTAAACTCTGCAGGGCTTTCTTGGGGTGCCAATGGGGTGAGAGTGCTGGAATGTCAACTTGATTTTCATGGCATATAGTCTGTCCAGCCCACAGTCCCCTCCCTCTGGAACCAGCCCTCAGCCCAGGTTTCTCTTCATCCTCAGCAGAGAAATCTGGGAGGCCCTTACCCCAACTCCTCCCCTCTTAATTCTCCACCCAGTCTCCACCCCAGTTTCCCCATCCCATTTCCCACCTACTTCCTTCTCAAGTCCCATAAAGGTCACGACAGATCCGGGAGACGATTGGAGTTCCCTCTGCGCTCCCAGGGAGAGAGAAGGAAGATTGAGAGAGACAGCGATTAGTTAAGGGGCAGAGATTCAGACGAGGATGGAGATAGATAGAAACACACGCATGCCATCAGGATGGTCCATCCAGAGTCTCAGAGAGAGAGCCAGAAGGGCCAGACACCCAACACAGCCTGGGACTTCACACAAGGACTTCCAAGAGGGTTCTTTGCTCCTTTCTGAGAAAACTGGAGCTCTTCAAGAGAGAACGGCCCCTTCTTTATGCTTTTTTCAAGACAGAATGGCCCCAGTTTGGGTGATATTTACTTCTCTTCTAATACAAGACCCAGAAATCCAAATCATAAAGGAATGAACAGAAACATGTAGGAGGCAGGGACTAGCAGTTAGCATAATGGCTATGTTGCTGGACTCCCATGTAGTTGACCACAGTTCGAGTCCCGGACCCGGTGTCTTAAACTCAAGCCAGTGCATGCGCATGCGTGCCCAATATCCCGAGAGGAGAATGGAGGAGAAGGGATTGCGGCGTAGCCATCACTCTTGGGGGGTGATTTCTTGCTTTCTGTCTCTCTGTCCCTCTCTGTCTTTTTGGTGAACACGTGTGCCCTATAGCAAAAACCTCTCCAAAAAGAAAAAAAGAAAAGAAAGATACATGGAAGAGAAAGAAAGAAGCAGGATCAGGACCCAGAAAGGCACAGAGACTGCTTCTGAGGTGAGGGCAGCTCAACCTCGACACCTCTCACGGGAGCACAGGCAGAGGCATCGGCCCACTGGCTCTTCCTGTGGAGTCCCCTTCCCATCAGCTCCACACAACCCTATGCT